TTTTTTTTTTTTTTTTGGGGGGGGGGGTAGTTTTGTTTTGTTTTTGGTTGTTTGTTTGTTGTTTTTGTTGTTGTAGTTTTTTGGGGGGTGGATTTTCTTTTGCTCTGTTAGATTGTATTTTGTTTTTCTAACCGACCTCTGTGATGTATTAATCTTACGCTATGTATAGTATATATAAACCTAGTTTGGTGTAGTATCAGGGTGTGTGTACGACGCGCGCGCGCGTGCATACACGCACACATACACACACATACACACACGCGCACACACCCCCCCCACACACACACACACACACATGTACACATGGCCTGGTTGTGTGTTTCAGGGTGTGTGTACGACAAGCAGCCCTGGTCTGAGTGTAACGTGGAGAGCAACACGCGACAGAGAGAGATGGTTCTGGTGCAAGGGGAGGCTACACAGTGCTTGCCCAAGAAGATTGTCACCAAGAAGTGCAGGAAAGGTGGGCCAATATAGACCACATGTATTATAATGATGTGTGTGTGTGTGTGTGTGTGTGTGTGTGTGTGTGTGTGTGTGTGTGTGTGGCCTAGAAATGTAATACAGGTGGGGCAATATACAATGTACGTGTGTGTGTGAGATGTGGTGTGTGTGTGGGGGTGTGTGGGTGTGGGTGTGTGTGTGTGTGTGGGTGTGTGTGTGTGATCAAGAAATGTGGAAAAGGTGGGGCAGTATACAATTTTCGTGTTGGGGTGTGTTTTGTGTGTATGCATGTGCGTGTGTATATGTGTGTCACTAAGGAGTGTAGGAATTGTGGTTCAACAGACGTTTGTGTGGGTGTGTGTGTGGGTGTGTCACAAAGAAGTGTAGGAAAAGTGGGTCAATAGATGTTTTTGTGTGTATATGTGTGTGTGTGTGGGTGGGTGTGTGGATGTGTGTGTGTGAGTATGTGTAGCCTATCTGTGTATGTATCTGTGTGTATGTGTGTGTGCGTGTCTGTGTGTGTCTGTGTGTCCGTATGTATCTCCAACAAGTGTAGGAAAGGTGATATTATCACGAATGTACGACTATAGTTTCCTTCCTGACAAAACCAGCCCCTGTGTTGTCGCCCTCAGAGTGCCGGTACATCAAGGGCGAATGGAGCCCCTGTGACCCCAACACAAACCTGAAGCACCGCTCACTCACGCCCAAACCAGGCAGTCTCCAACAGTGCCAGTCGACCGTGCAGGCGAGGCCTTGTCGTCGACGCGCGGAACTCACAGCGCCAAAGTCCAACAGTGAGTCAACTGGCACACGCACACACACACACACACACGCATAAACACATGCACACACACACAGATACACACACATTAACACACACGCACATACATAGGCATACATTAACACGCACACACGCACACACACCTATAT